AGAATAACTACCAGAACTAATTAAGTTTTCATAAGCTAAAAACAATGGAAAATACTAAAGATTTCAACTCCTCATGCCAGAACGCTATTCCTCAATCACTATCTAAGTAGTCACTTGAACCTTTATCTGAAAACATTTAGAAAATAGAAAAAAATGAGTACAAAAATACTCAATAAGCAATTTCCATATCGAATTTCAAAATTCATTTTCCTTTCAAAACATTCGTAAACAAAAATACGAACAAATCAAAACTTTTAAAGTCCTTTACAAATATTTAATACAATTTTCAAAACTTTAAAAAATAAACTAGATTTTCGGAAACAATGTCTTCAAATAAGATAAAATTTCCAGTCAATCAAAACAAACTTTCATTATTTCAAAACAAACTTTAATTTGATCAAACTTCAAATCCTTCAAAACAAACTTTCTTTCAATCAAAACTTTCAAAGTTCATTCTAAAACACTTGGTACAACTTTCAAACTTTTGAATAACTAAATCATTCGAACATTCAAAACAATCTTACATTCATTCATATTTTCAAATCATAGTGGAAAGTTGCATTATTTGGGTAGCCTACAGAACATATTTGGTTACCCGTCGGTAACACCAATCAATCAGAAGCTTCTATCAGAGTTGTCGAATTAATATCGACCAGAACAAACAGAACGGTTACTTAAGTGTGAGGCCATGTGAGTGAATAACACACACATGAATCTTGATTCTCAAGGAATGCCAAACCACAAAAGTGTCTTCCCACAAATAAGCCAGAGCAGAAATCCGTCAATTCCAGATTAGGCTACTAATCCAAATAAGCAAAACATTCTTTAAAACAAAATCATGGCACATCTGGATAGCCCTATGAAATCAATCAAAATATCTTTCAAATAAAATGCAAAACAAATACTTACTTCAATATTAAATTAATTCAAAACATTGAAATAATTTAAAACAAACTTTATCAATCCTCCAAAACATGATTTCAAATATTTCACAAATAAACAAAATGTCAATTTCAAACCTTTAAATAAATTAAAACTTTATCAAATCATTTAATAATACTTCAAATACTTTGCAAATAAATATAATTTCAATTGCCAAATTAGTTTTCAAATCCATATTAAAACTTGAATTTCATATGCAAGATATCAATTTCAAATTGTCGTATCAACACTTTTTGAAGGGATACGGTAAATAACTTACAACACTGGTAAAGAACTTACAATACTTTTTCGAAGGGATATGACAAATTACTTACTTCTTTCAGAAATCCTACGAATCTAATTAACTTCTTCCTTGGTAGTTGTCAACTTAGAGCGCTAGAAACAACCAATATCCAAAATCAATTCTTAAATCCTATCCAAGGATTTAAAATTCAACCAATTACTAACCCAAATCTTATTTACCAAATTTTCTCATTCAAAACACTTTTTTATGCAAAATAATTAGGAAAGTGTGGATTTGGGGCTACAAAACCAGATCGGAAAACTAGGTTAAAAAGCTTCTAAAATCAACCATAACAACCTTTAAAATTACAAGAATGGATATAAATCAATACGAACTAAATTTACAAAAAGTTTCTCAATAAAACCAGCTTAAAAACCTTCTAAACAATTGAAAATTTGAGAATTTTAAATCTGAAAAATTTTCTGTTTTATAAAATAAAACTTCAAAGAAATTTCCATAAAACAATTAACAATTTACTAATTTTTATAGAAAAATCAGATCTGAATATCATATAGAAAACCTTTAAAACTTGGTAAAAACATATAATTTTTCATGTAAAAATCATAACAACAAACTATAATTTATAGGATACAAATAGGTAAACTTTTTATGCAAAAAAGAGTCTCAAAATATCCCAAAACAATCTCATAAACAAAAAGATGAAAATAAAAAATTCTGGAAAATTTTTAGGGGCATAAGTCCTTAAAATCTTTTATTCTACAAAACAAATATCTCAAAACTTTTCCCAATAAACTGAACTACAAATCAAGAAAAATAAAACTAAAACAATGAGAAAGAAAATCTTACCGATATTTGAGAGAAAATACCAGAACTCTTCTTCTTTTATTTTCTTTTTATCTTTGAGAGAAAATTAGGTGTAACACTTTGAAAAATTAAACCTAGGGTTTGAGGCCTTTTATAACAAACCCTAATGAATCCTTATTTAAAAAGGATAATAAAAAGATAAAGATTTAATAAAACTGGTTTTTTTAAATTCTAAGAACAAATTATCTTTTAAAAAATAATTTTTAAAACAAAAATTTATATTTTTTGAGAAGATAAAGAAAACAACTAAATAAAAAATACTAATTTAAATATATAAATATATATTTTCGGTTGTTACAAAAAATGCTATATTTGAAAAATCCAAATCTACTATTTTACTTATTTTCATAACTTTTTTTTGCCATATCTCAAGTTGTCCCTAAAATAAAAAACGACAAAAACAAAACAAAAACAAGAAACAAGAAATAGTTATCAAAAACATATTTTATTTATTTATTTTTTGAAGAAACCAGAAACAGTGATTATATCAAACATATCTGTATTTATATTTTTAGTTCTAAAAAGATTAAAAATTAAAAACAATAAATAAAAAACGAGAAATAGAAAACAGTAAACGAAACAGAAAGTGATAGTATTTAAACCTAATAATAATAAACCCAATTTATTAATTCTAATAAGAAGAAAATGAAAATGGCGCCTCCGCCAAGACAGAACAAAGGGAAAATTCAAGTTCCCGCCATTTGAACGCAGCCCATGGCGCCAAATAGTGGCGCGCTCCTCTTCAGATGCTCGCCATTAATGCATCTTCAACATTTTTCCTCTTTGTTTCCCCTCTCCCGCGAGCTAATCCAATGGAGATCTCAAGAACCCCAACATTTTTCCAAGATCTCGCTTCCAGAGAGCTCAATGGATTCAGAGGTTCCCTCTTTCTCCACCGCAGATCGCTGTTGCCAATTTATTTTTTGTTTTCTTTTTGTTTTTCTGTTCAAATCACTGTCTAACACTCCGCAATCTCTTTCCCAGTTCGGAAGCGGCCGCGTTTTGGCGCTGACATTGCCCTTAATTTCAAGGAAGTCGGAGCTCTTGCCGTTGAGCACGACGGTGACCAGACGCCGCCATTGGCCGTTTCGTTCTGCAAGGTTTTAGTTCAACGAGCATATTGGCATTGTTTCGTATTTGCGTTTCTGTTTCCTCATATGGGCATTGTGAAACTTGTGTTTTTGCAGACGTTAACAAATTCCCACTTGTTTGCACTATCGGATGAGGATGGGTACGTAAGCCTGTTCAACTCTCGCAACAGATTTTCGTCGTTTTCATCTCATCAGGAAAATTCAGGTTTTGATCTCTTTTCCTTTCCATTTCATATGCCCTGTAGATAGCGGACTTTAGTTGATTTAGTTTTATTTTGAATTGATACAGAGAAGTCAAGGGTCTGTGAGTGGGAAGCACATCGCAATGCTGTATTTGATGTTTGTTGGATTAAGGTAGTTCCCATGTTCAATCATCTTGGTACTTCAGTTATTGAATTAATTCTCCTATTTTCGTGACAATGGTAATGTTATTCGTGAGCAGAATACTTGAATTGATCTCTCTGAGACTACTGTTTTGAATATAATTAATTGCCGATTTGTATTATTCTTATACAATGTTTACTGTGTCCTAAATCATGAAATGATAATGTTTCAGGGAGATACCCAGATGATTACAGCTTCTGGAGATCAATCTGTAAGTATCATCATTTAGCTTCCAAATCAGTTTATTCACTTATTAAGCATCACCTCTACATTTCCATATGGAGGGAAAGAAATCAAAGAATATTTTAGGCAATTGAAGCTTCTTTTGATTATCTTAGACGTAGTGTGCACTTTTGATTCTTTTGTATTATAGCTTATCTATGATTCTTCAAGATTGGAAAGCTTTGATTCATTAGTTTTTTTTAAGGGCCTTCTCATTCCTCCTAGGCTGTTCTTTTGTTCGTGTGTCTATAAATCCCATCTCTTAACCAAGAAAAAAATATCTACTTTTGATATGTGGCACAAATTTTCATCTGTGAGTAAGTTGTAACTTCCAATTCGACTTCTGCAGATGAAAATATGGGACGTTCAGGAAATGAAATGCATAGGAATATTGAGAGGGCATAAAGGAAGTGTGAAATCCATATCTTCTCACCCAACTAATCATGGTACATATTTCATATTATTTTACACAAGAATATTTTGTCTAAACATTCATATCTGAGAGAGGGCGAACAAGATCTACTTTCCTGAAATGATTGATTTTCATTGACTCATACAGATATAATTGTATCTGGTTCAAGAGATGGCTCATTTGCTCTCTGGGACTTGAGAACCACTTCTTGTTCCAAAGTTGGCAGTGAGGAGCTGTGCCTACGGTAATTAGGATTCGGGGTCTTTGGTTCTTTAACTAAACTTCTGTGCTAAGTAAGCGTGAAATTTTGTAAGTGGTCTTACGATTCCCAAAATTACCTTGAACAGGGCTACTGCAGTAGTTAAAGGAGCCCATCTTTCCACTCATGCAAAGCGTATCAGGCGTCAAAAGGTTTGCTGTTGGCATTTTCTCCTCTATCATTTGGTTGGCACTTGGCAGGGTGTCAAAAGATTACACTCTAATTTTTATATATATAATCTTTCAATCCTGAAAATTTAAGAGGCAAATTAGAGAAACTTTAAAATGTTTAACATATTTTTATAGTCTCAACTTTCTTTCTTTTTGCTCTGCCATTGGTGATTGGTATATCTTACTTAGCCTTTCAATTCTTCCAGTCTGCTTCGAAGAGCATAACTTCTGTTCTTTACCTAAAAGATGAACTCTCCATAGCCACAGCTGGTGCAGTGGACAGGTGCGTTTAGAATTTACATCTATTGTCTTGTACAGAGCTAGAAGTAGATTTCCTTGTCAGAAGCTATACCAAACCATATCATGTTACCGATGTTAGTTTTTTCTGTCTTTAGCATTGTGAAATTCTGGGATACAAGAAATTTAAAGAATGCAATCACTTGGTGCCAACCCAAATACAGCGACAAGGTAATTGCTCATATTGCTTTAGCAAACCAATGGTTGCCAATATATAATGGCATCTAATATATATTTTTGGAGTATCAATGAGGTCTCGAGACTAATTATAGTCCACCCTGTTCATATGTAGGAAACGAGATTACATGGTATATCCAGCTTATCCCAAGACGCAAATGGGGCATTTCTTTCAGCATCGTGCATGGATAATAGGTAATTAACTCATTTAATCACGAGTCATACTTTCCAGTTTCCTAGTTCTTTCAATCACAAGTCATATTTTTATAGAGCTAGCAGCAGTGCAAATAACAAAATGATGTAATCTTACTCCCTCTCTCTGTAACAGAATATATTTGTACAATATACTTCAGCTGGATAAGGGTCCTGTGAAATCATTTTCTGGATGTCAAATAGATTCTTTCTTCGTAAAGGTGAGTGTTGCCCTGTCAAGGCTTGAAGTTACTCGTCCTTCGCTAAAATTTCCTTGAATATATTTCCATTCTTAATGTTTCATGCTTGGTTTTGCAGTCTGTAGTCAGTCCTGATGCTTCTTACCTTCTCAGTGGTTCTACTGATGGAAATGCCCACGTTTGGCAGGTCAGATTCTTTCTAATAACAAGCTTTATTTATACTATAGTTGAATTATAGCAGGAATTTAAAAGCTGTGTAAAATCATCAGGTAAACCAGCCTCAAGAAGATCCCATCACATTAACAAATCATAATGGAGAAGTTTCGGCGGTGGATTGGTATTTTCCTTGAACCTTTTGCCACTTGTCTCACTCAGCCCTCCACGATTATTAAATCGCTACTGATAAGTTTATTCCCTTTCAGGTCTTCGTTTGAACTTGGGAAGTTTGTGACATCCTCAGATGATTTCACGGTGTGTAAATGAAATACTATCAGGGTGTACATTTGAATGTCTTATCTTCTGAACACACTTTCTTGGGTTGACTGCTAAAAGCCTCTAAATTTTTTCATAGTTTTTTAAACTAATAATAATATAAAAAAGTATTCTAGTTTTTTTCCCATGATATTTATTAGTAATTTGGAAAGAATCAAACCTGTTTTACTTCTCTCATTAGATAGGTAAACAAAAAGACAGGTTAAGTTTCTGTTTAATAATTGACAAAAATTAACTTGAAAGACGGTAAGTTTAAGGAATAAAATATAATAGTAAGAAGTTTAGAAACTTAAATGGGATTTAAAATCACAAAATTCACTAGATTATTTTGTAAATTTTTGGTTTAAATACTATTTTCGTTTATGTATTTTTAGTTTTGGTTTATTTTGGTTCTGGTACTTCCAAAACTTCCATTTTGATCCATAATACTTTTGACTTTGGTTCGTTTTAGTCTTTATACTTCTAAAGTTAAAAGTGTTCATTTTGGTCTTGTACAGGTAAAAAGTGAGTATTTTGGTTCATTCATTATTTTTTTTTCATTTTTTTCAATTATAATTTTTAGCAATACACTTCTAATTTTCTTGAAATATAGCCATAAATTTGTAGTACAAGGTTTTCAATGAGTATAAAATTTGTCTTAAAATTTTGTAGATAAAGATAAAATCCATCGTAAAAGTATGAACCAAAATAAACTCAAGCTAAAAGGTAAAAGGGACTGGAAATAGTATTTAAACTTAAATTTTCTTAGATTATATTTATGTCCATTTTTAATTCTTTTTGGCAAATTATCTGATAGGTTCGAATATGGAATGCTGAAAAAAACAGTGGCTACTCAAGTAAAAGGCCAACTTCATGCAACAGAAAGAGAATTATGGCGATGCCGACTATAGAACACCCCAAAGACTCTGACTCTTCAGATTCTTCTTCATACTTTGATAGAGCTTCCATGGAGAACAAATTAGGCACTCCAGAGTCCAAGGTAAAAAGATTTATTACAGACATTGACTTAATTGAAAGCTTTGAGAAGACCCCTGAAGCCACTTCCAAAAGCCCATCTTCTGTTCTAAATCCTCCATCTTCCTCCATGAAAAGAAAAACAATCAGAGATTACTTTATAGTTGCTTCTTAAAACCAGGCCTCACTGTTCTGTTCATTTTTGGAGTACATATTTTCGTTTTCATCCATTTTTAGAGCTCACCATTTGCCTCAATTTTGCTGGTGGGTCCAAATAGAAGCCTTTAGAACAGCAAGTCTGAATGAATACCTTGGTTTGGGATGTTCTGAGATGATATGTGGTATTTTTTGTATTTTTTTGTAGCAAGTCTTGTACTGATGTGCAGGATTGTATTTGAAGTGTACAGTGAGGGGATGCAATTTTGTAAAGTATTATAGTTTTAATATCTTATTTTTTCCAACTTTCTTATTTTGTCCCTTTTTTAATGTTAAATTGCATATTTGGTCCATGAAATTGGGAGATAGCACTCACGTGGCTCAAACATGAAAAATATTTGTTTAATACGTATGTTAGGAGTTCTCTCGACCGATATGATGCTAAATAGAAACTGGGCTCCATTGAGAGGGCAACTTCTTTGTTGGTTCTTCAAGATAAAAGCACTCATAAGAATGGTGCTAATTCTCATGTTCTTTTTAGCTTTGTTTGGTTTTGAGAGCCTTCCCTCCCTATCTCTCTCTCTCTCTCTCTGTTTTTTTTTATAGCTGTCATTCGTTATAGGTAGAGACCTTTATTATTATAAAGATTCCCTAGTCTACAAAATAGAATGAACTGGCGATATAGAAACAAAAAAAAAAGAGTTGATTTTTTGATGTGATGTATTTTTTTCTAAAAATTTAGTGGGATTTGTCTATTAAAAGCAATAAAAAATAGTACAGGCAAGCATTGCTACTTAAATATATGTTCAAATAGTCTACATAAGACATGTATTCATTTTTTCCGAATTGGAGGTTAGATTTTCCATTTCCTAAAATTGTTGTTAATATATATATAAATATATATATACGCTCAAATATGTGTTCACATCTCATGTTATCAACTTTGGTTGAAAGAAAATTAATGGTAAAAATTAATATAGTTATTTTTCAATCTATCATTTTAAAAAGTTCAATAATCTTGAGGTAGTATAAGTTAATTTAAGAATTAAAATACAATTTTAAAAATCTTGACTAAAATAAAATAAGTTTTGAAAGTTCATTCACTCTAAACCCTTTGCAATATTCTTCTTAATATTAAATCTTAAATAATAAATTTTGTTTTTATTGTTACTTTTGTAATTAATCATTTAATAGAAATCTAAATCTGCTTGAAAATTTGCCAGATAATTTGTTATAATCTTTTCTTAATTAAAAATGGTACTTGGGTTTGTGTTCAATAACTTATCAAAAGAATTAATTGTAAGGATCAAAATAATTTTATTCTATAGATCCAGATTAAAGTAAAATGTTTTAAAATTTAAAAATTAAGCTACAACAAACCATTGAAAGTTTAAGGAATTAGAATAAGATTTAAATCTTTATTTAATATTTGCTGCCATTACTAACAATAATAACATTAATATAAAATACTCTAGCTTCCTTATAAGAAAAAAAAAAAAAAACTGTAGAAATGATGAAAGATTTGATAAAATAGCAAAAAGAAAAAAAAAAGAGTAATATAATTTACATTTATAACTAAGAAAACATACATTGATAGCTAAAAGCTAGATTATATTCTCACTATAAGAGAGGCCTCAAAATGCCTTCTTGAGCTTTGAAGATGACTCGATCTGGCGTAAGAAATGGTAGCAACGCCATGCCTACTAAATTATGCCGATCGAGTAGCTTCGATAGATAATCTAGCTAGTAAAATTACATATGAGATGGATCCATTTTATTGCAGATTCACAAAATGTTGCACAAACTGCAAAAAAAAAAAAAGTTGCATAGGATCATGTTCTAAGATAGAATCATAAAGCATTTAATAGTGTCAATCAAATGAGTGGGGGCTTGGAACATACCATCATGATCAAACAGCAGTTGCATTGCTCTTATTGAATTATATAAAGCTCTTGTTTGGCTATGTAGTATCGACCGATGAGGTTGCTCGGTTCGATGATGAACTGCTCCCGGAAGGATCCCATTCTTTTACTCGAAACGTCGATGGAGAGATCCTTGAAATTTGGCAGTCCCTCGACTTGTACTCCGTCTCCACATATGAGGAACTGGTTACCGATGATGAAGGATCCTGACACCCTTATGGCGATTCCATCTCGACCGTGAGCTCGACATTGGAGTTTTTCAACGACATGAACTAGTTTTTCGAGAGGCCAGTCCCCGGCTAATGTATTTCGAATGTCTGATAGAGTGGAAAAGATGTCATTTGGACCAGAAAATTGCTTCCCTGAAAAACTGAAAACAAGAGAAGTATGAATCATTTAGATGAATACCTCCCTCCATATTTTTAGGATAAACAGATCTTGAAAAACTACAAATCAAAATCTATTTGAACCTAAGGAGACCCTACTGGTAACGAAGCAAAATGTTTAAGGAAAAGCTCCTAAAACTTTGGGTTCAAGCCTCTAAACTCCATTTGATAACCATTTTTTGTTTAATTTTTTATTTTGAAAATTAAACTTATAAATACTATTTTCACATATGTATTTCTTTGCTTCGGTATCTACTTTTAAAAATGGTTTCAAAGTCTTAAGCAAAAATTTGAAAACTTAAAAAAGTAGTTTTTGTTTTTGAAATTTGGCTAATAATTCAAGTGTGTTTTTAATTAAGGTGAAAAACATCCAAAGAAGTTAGGATGAAACATAAATAATTCTAAATTTAAAAAATAAAAATAAAATCGTTATCAAATGAGCAATGAGTCATCCATAGTCTCTCAATGTGTATGTATGTATGTATATATATTTGAATCCGTGTGTCGGGGCCAGCTTGCGCGCACCTCTACTAATCACGGGTCAATCGCCTGACCCTACTACGTTTGGTTGACAAGGTAACTCGTAGGATATTAAATCCTAGGTAGGTGACCACCATGGTTTGAACTCATTCCCTCTAAGTCTTTTGCTATTTACATTGGCCCTCATTGACCACTTGAGTCATCCCATGATGGTTCATAGTCCCCCATTTATATACAAAAATAAACCCTTTACATCAATGTGGAAAAATCAAGATCTTTCTAATCGAGACTCATTGACAAGTCAAGGAATTCTCTTAACCAACATGTTTTTTTTGAAATTTATAACCTATCCTACTATATTTGGTTGCTAAGAGAACTCGCATGATATTAAATCTTAGGAAGCTAGTCACCATGGTTTGAATCCATTCTCCATAAGCCCTTTACCTTTCTCATTGGACTCTAAATAATCATTACGTCAACTCACGGTAGTTTAAAAATCTCATATTTTTCAAACGAAAACGAGGGAAAACATTATTCAACAACTACTCATTACCTCAAAGTTGAGCTTTCATTGTACAAAGCTTTTGAATGGTGCCAGAATTCATCAGGTCCATCAAAAAGCAAGTAATAATGAATTGTCAACATCTGGTAAGGAAAAAAAAACAAGAAAAGAGAAATCAGCATCCATTTTCACAAAGCAAAAGTAACATGGTGTGTAGTCTAAAGATTTAAGACTCTATAAGTTCTTGTATGATCATATAACACCTTTCAACAGTAAAGCTCCATCACATTCAACCTAGAACCCTTAAGGGACTATCTAAAAACTGCACATGTAAACTATATTCTGTTTTAGATTGTTATTTTATAGTATAAACTCTGAAATCAGTTTCTAGAATTAAAAAAATGGAAAATGGGAAACTGATTCCGCCTTGATTCTATTATTTATATTCAGAGAGGAATTACAAGAGCTAAGGGAGATTTCGGGAGCTCCCTATTCTCTCCATAACTCTTACCCAAAACTAGTAAAAAGATACCATCCTCTCGTGCCCGAGCCAAAATATACCCGACACTTCGAAATCTAATATTTGCCCATCTAACTAACTAGAGCCCCATTGCTCTAACACAACTTCCTCACGACCCAGTTACATAAGCTGCTCTCCCCTCTTCCTCTCTCTATAGAATATACTTATCTAATTGGGGCCTATCAAAAACCATATTTCGTCATTTTCATCTATTTTCTTTGCTGTTCTATAATCAATTGTTGATATATAACCATGAACTGTTATCATTTATTTAAAAATATTACGAGATGTGATCGAACATCGACTGGCTGTCAGAATGATATACATAATCTTGAAGATGCAATATTGACTATGGAGAGAGCTACTGTATACTTACATCTGCCAAGTCCTTCATCCTCTGTATTGGATCAAACACACTCTGTACAAATGCTGCCAAGTCTACTTGTTCATCCTCATATTTCTTGATAAATGGGTGTGAAAGCAGCTGCAACCAGAGAAGCATAAGCAAAACATTATCCATCTTGAACCAGTGTGCACATAACAAGAGATTTAAGGTCATCAAATAGTAAGGAAAAGAAATCTTCCAAAAGATAAATCTGGATCTGGTTTTGATTTTAGTATTCAGTCTTCAGCTGCTCGAGGTTTAAGGTCTTCAACTAGCAAGAAAAAGAGATCTTCCAAAAGATAAATCTAGATCTGGTTTCGATTTTAGTATTCGGTCTTTGGCTGCTGGGTAAATTCCTGACTTAGTAATCATATTCTCAAGGCACCACCTGATTAATCAAGCTTGAATTGGTACTAAAAACTTTTTACCACCATTTAATTTGCCAACAAAAGTATTTTTGTGTACATCAAAAGTTCATAATTCTTTTACGTCTAACTTACTACAAGATACAAGCTTAAGCAGGTAGAGAATGAATTCGATCCTTTTAATATACTCTCAGTCTCAACAATTTCCTTCACATGAGGAACCAAATATCAGGTGGGATTTTTTGGTTTGTATAGTGAGTATCTGATTCCGAACTAGCTTATGTTCACCTCAATGTTAGGAATGACCCTGGGGTAGTTAGAAATATTAAGAGTGGTAAGTAGTGAAAGGGTTTGTAGGATTTAGTTATAATAGAGGAAGTGGGAGGGGATGAAGGTAGCAATAGTTTAGTGGGTTTAGACTTGAGTGGGAGTACTCAAAGAGGGTAGGTTCCAAGCTTGAGAGTTATTGTATTTCTTTATCCTTTTTATCTTTCAATGTTATTTTAGTTATTTAGTTTCTATCAAAGTCGTACTAATTGCATTGTAAGCCATCTAATCCTAAAATATTAGGGATATATTTGCCACCACGGAGCTTGAACCCACAATCTTAAGGTTCTTACCATTAACATCAATTGGGGAAGAATGGACACTGCAAGGTTTCAAACTCAACACCCTACTCTCATAATATGTTAAATTACCATAGAACACAAAAATTAAATTGATAATAATGTAAATCTAACCTTTTCAATATATTCTCAACATTTAACTCTTCCAAAATGAGGAATTTTTTTTCTCCCTTTCCTTTGGAAAACCCAATTGTTGATCAACAACTAAATGCAACAAGCGATCACTTAAAAGCATTTGCACTGACAGTGGAATGCAAATGACATAGACTAACCTGCTCTGCCGTTGGCCTAGCATCTGCATCTTTCTGCAAGCAGGCATCGACGAATGAACAAAACTCTGGTGAAAATTTCTGTTTTGATGGCGACGGAGATGGGTCATCCAAAATCTATCATAAAGCAAAATATTTCAGAATCCACAAAAAGAATGTAACAATACTGATTCAGCAGATTTAGATAGATGGCCTGGAACAAATGGGAGATCTATCCTGAAGAGAGGTAAAATCTCTTTAGAGTTGAGAGAAAAATTCTCTAAAACTATGGAATAATATATATAAAAAAAGAGCTGACTATTTATGAATGAAAGAGGCTATTTAAATAACTATGGCGATATATACACTATATTTTCTAATCTTTTAATTACTTCTCAATCTGGTCTATAATCTTTTAAAATTTTCAATTTTAACCTTTAATGTATTAAAAATGATCAATTACGTCGTTTCATAAAAATTTGATTGATCATTAATTTTTGGTTTTTCTTTTTGGACGAGAAACCGAGCCTTCATAGAGAGAAATAAAAGAATATATAAGGACATAAAAAAAACCAGCCCGACAAAAGGAGACTAACCTACAAAAAGGGGCTCCAATCAAAAGAATAACACCTAACGGATAATTACAAAAAATCTTAGAAACTTAAATCCACGAGAAGGTATTAAATCTACTAAGCTCCAAAACATTCTCCTTGAATCTCTCAACCCCTAAAGATTTTGTTGTTTCTCTCAAGTCAAATCCCTCACAAAACATTAAGAAAAAAACAAGCCTACCATAGGAACCTTCCCTTATCCCAAAAGGGTGGGAACAACAAAATCTCCTCCATCAACAACCATCCTTGTTACAAGCCGAGACCACCCCAAACAACTCGAAGAAACGACCCAGATAGACTGAGGAACCCGACAATTCAACAGAATAGGATCAAGATCCTCCCAGGCACTTCTGCAAAGCACATACCACTGTGACCCAAAAAAGAAGGAAAAACACCTTTAATATGGTCCAAGGAATTGGCTTTCCCAGGTAAGACCTGTCCAAGCAAAAAGTTTGAAATATTTTGGAATTTTAACCTTCCAAAGCTGAGGCAAACAACAGAGCAAAAGGGGGAGGCGAGGGAATGCACAACTTTAGAAAAAAAGAACCACGGGAAAAGGAAAACCTCCTAGACAGGCTAGGGGGCCAAGCTACTGAATCCTTCCTCCCCCAACAAAGATGGGAACACTAACATATTCGGTCCTTAATTTTATAAAATTCTCAATTCATTAAATTATAGTTTCATTAACATATTTGAATACGTGGACATGTAACTCAAATATTATTAGACACATGAAATTCAACCCACGTGCATTAGTAAAATCCCACCAACCATATCTTTCGAGTGACATATTCACGAGTCCAAATATGTTATGAGACACGAGCATTTTGTTAATAAAATTTAACAATTTTTTCTCAAAAAGACGTAATTGAGAATTTTCGATACATACCCAATTGAGAATTTCACAAAATTAAGGACCAAATTGAGAATTACCTAAAAGATTAAGAACCATTAGGTATATTTAGCATAAAACTAATTACTTAATTAAATAAATATATAACCTAATATATTATTCTTCCCACATCAGATACTTAAGTTAAAAAGGTGATCTGCTCATCCAAGTATATTCATGAGCAAATGACATCCAACATTCAAGAAATATTGTAAGTAAAAGTTAGTGAAATTCACATGTAAACGAAAAATATGATATCTTTTGATCATTAGCTAGCTCATACCTGCAACATAAGATTCACTAGGCCTTCAGTAGCTGAATATGGAAATTCACCAGTACCACACTCAAAGAGTGCAAGCCCAAGGCTCCAAATATCAGCTGGATAAGAATAGTTCTCATTTCGAATTCGCTCGGGTGACATGTATGTGACAGTTCCAACAAAAGTAGCACACTAATTATCATGTCCAAAACTATGTTAGCAAAAACTTCTCTTGGTCTTTCCAAATTAAAAGGTTAACAAGACCAAGGAAAAAGGTAAAAATGATAGCTAGTAAAAACTAACCATTGCCATTGAATTCTCTAAGCCAGCACTTATGCCAAAATCTGTAATTTTTGCTTCACCCTTTAGATTTACGAGTAAATTAGCTGGCTTTATATCTCTGTGAACCAAATGTCTTACTCCATGTAGGTAATTTAGTCCCTAAGACCAAGATGAAAAGAGCAATAATTTAAGAACTAAATGTTAAATCAGAAGTTTGGTCTATGAACTTTTAGGGTTGTGTATAATAAGTTCTTATACTTAAAATAATAGATCATGACTTTCAATGTTGTGTCCATCCGGTCCTTGTATTTCAAAAAGTTTCTAATAGGTTCCTGAATTTTAAATTTTATGCTTATATGTTCCTATGTTAACTATATCACTTTTACGCTTACGTAGTGCACTAATTGCGCTATTGAAGAATTACGTGGCAAGTGGTTCAGGCATTGGGTGGTGAAAGTGTTAAATTGACGAAGTTCATGGTAAGAACTTATTAGACGCAAAATTAGAAGTTCATCGGCCTATTCGAAAACTTTTAAAAGTACACGGATATTGGGCACAAGCCAAGTTCAGGATCAAATAACAAGTATGAAAATGTTGAAATAAGTTCTAAGCATTTAGGAGATAGTGATTGAGAAAGGGAAAAAGAAAACCATACATGAAGAAGTTTTTGAAACATAGACGAAAGGACAGGCTCAGGTATACATTTCTTCAAACGCAGGACATCTGCTAACGACCCTCCATCCATGTACTCCAAAGCTATGCTTATTTGGCCAGAGTCAGGGGTATAAAACGCACCATGAAATTCCACCAGACCCTCCGAACATGGGGCTTCACATAATGTCCTTATCTCGGTAAGAAGCTGCTG